ATATATATACTGTATTAAGAGTTATATCAGTAAATTCCACCATCATGTTTCAAAGGCTTCACATACACAAATGGTCTCCAACTGGGCAGTGTTATCATGTCTATGGATGTAGCAGATACTCACAGGCCAACTGTTCTTGCAGTGGATTGAGAAAAGCTACTCCAATTGATGCTACCCCATTAGTTAATTAGGGTTGGCAGTAGCTTTTGCACCCATGGCATAGGAACAGAAGTCACAACAGTTGGGTCCCTATGTCAGAAGACCTCTATTGGCCTGTGGAAAGGTTCTAGTCAAATCCTTTAGTTTATAGTTACGTAGAGAAACTGCTGCGGACCCATGCAGAGGTCAGTCATGCTTCTCCATATATTCCTTTGATTTCACTCGATTATGGAATGCCATTCATTGGCCCCCAGTAGTTTAGGAAGTTGAGGGATGACAACTTAGGTAGGTGAAGGATAACCAGTTAGGAGGATGAAGGATGACCACTTAGGAGGGTGAAGGTTGACCATTTAGGAGGGTGAAGGATGACCAGTTGGAAGGGTGATGGTTGACCACTTCGGAGGGTGAAGGATGACCAGTAAGGAGGGTGAAGGTTGACCAATTCGGAGGGGAAAGGATGACCACTTAGGAGGGAGAAGGAGGACCAGTTAGGCGGGTGAAGATTGATGTGGCTGTGGGACCACTTTGTGGGTGTTTGGTCACCACGCCAACCTGTAACCGGCTCGTCCAGCTTTGCAGGAGGTCAATGGTTCTCTAAATCAGCACTTTTCTGTTTGTCCCCAATCAGCACATTGTTCAGCATCTCAGCCGCCTGTCAAATTATTGTTTTGCTTTCTCTGCTTTTATGTTTTTGCTGCAAGCAGAATTTTCTCGTTTTGTTTTGTCATTTGTTGGTTTGTGTTTTGTTGGTTTGTGTTTTGATTTTATTAGGGAAACGGGAAGATGATCCATGATTGTTAAATGGCATCTAAAAAAATGTTTTTGCAATAGTTGTTTTTCTCAATAAAATTGAGCTGTGAATTATTCGGATGTCTCTGTCACTGAAATAATCTCATAGGTGGTCTCTGTGTTATTTAAAAGGGACAATATCTTGAAGGACATCGCTGGTAATCACAGGTCCCTATAGGACATTTTTTGATAGGCCCTATCTCAGATTGGTGGTTCATGAAAAATAGCTAATGTTATTATAATGCCCATAAGCCTGACATTGCGCACACGGGTGTGCACATTTTACGGGTGCTAAAAAAGAACTCCATGTGTATAAATAAATCCCTGCAGTGGGGCTACCCCTGCACTGCAAGGGTTAAGTGCCCGTTTGCATAGAGTCAAAAATAACAAAGCTATACTCACCCGTTCCTCTGTCATGCCTGGCTGCTAGACCGGTCCCTGCGACCTCTTCTTCTGGTAGTCTAAGGACCCGTGATGTCATCACGTTCATTTACTTGCATTGGACATGAGGACACAGAGGGAATAAAAGGGGGAGAGGGAACAGGAGAATGACATGTCTTGCTGTGTTTGTGTTTATGGGGACACACACAGCTTAGTAGCACACACAAGGGTGGCTCCAATGCAACTCTCCAAATGCACGGTACTAAATGCAACACAACGCACAGCACTGAGGTTCCGTGTATTGCACTGCAACACACAGCTTCTGGGAGGTGCATTTGGGTTCCATTCAAATGAATGGCAATGGAACTCTCTAGCCACAAGGTACTGTATGCAATACAACGCACAGCATTGAGGTACTGCGCATTGCACTGTAACACACAGCAGCTGGGAGGTGCAGCGGGCTGCTTTTCAAATGAATGGCAATGCGATGTTCCTAGTGCAAGTTGTGCAATGTGTTTGATAAAACCCACAAAAGCGCTCGTTTAGTGCAACACTCAGGTGTAAATGGGCCGGAAAGTTACGCCTAGTGAGCTATTGTGACAGAAGCTTGGTGGCAGCATTGGGTGGGATTAAGGACGATAGCTCAGTGTCCTGTCTTGTGTCATAGTAAACATCACTGAGTACAAAGTACAAAAAACACAATTCATGCGCTGGTTGCTGCACATCGGAGCTCCTCGGGATCCCCTCACAAGTAAACAAGGACAACCTTTACCTCACGATGCAGAGGGACACCAATGGAGGAAGACTGTGCTGGGCACCATATCTCCAATTACTTTTACAAGGAAAGGTAAACACTTAATTCCCCAATTCCCCAAAATGGTGCAGGAGACC